CTTCATTGATCAGGAGATTAACACTGTTCCTCAAGGTATCCATCAGCTCTGGATTTTCGAATATGGACTGGACAAAGAGTGAAAACGCGAGCTGACTAGAGACGGGTCAGGAGAAGCAGACGAGTATTCGTATTGGAATATACCGGATGCTCGGGACCAGGGCACGCCGGATATAAACTTGATCCAAGTAGGTTAAAAGAGACTCCAGTAAGGCCTTGAAAAGCAATAAAAAACGTTTTCAGAATAATAAGAGCCCTGGCACGCACCACCTGCGTCTCGAACCACTTGCACGCCCCAACGAACTTGTTCAACCATATTGCACCCGGGGAATGTGCCTTTTTCTCGGATAACAGTTCTTTCGACAGACGGCTGACGGACTGCTCGAGTTCAAGCTTCAGGGTCGCGTACAGAGCTTCTCCTGTATTCAGCTCGCTGACGACCGACCGGCAATCGTTGTATATGGTCTCAAAGGTAGTGGGAAGTTCGCTACCGTCGCGCGCCAACACGCGCTTTATGCACTGCTGGAGAGCATTCGGCCGGGCGGGTCTGTTCCGCTGGCTTGTTCCACTAGCAAGGACCTGGATCTTGATAGGCTGGTTTGCATTGTTATTTCGATGGGAGTGTTCAGGTGTGATTGTATCCGGAAGGGCTGTGAAACCCGCAGAATTAACTGGGAGGCTCAAAAGCTGCAGGACAGATGCCATGAGATGTGGCTGTACGATTAGCACATTCCCGATTTGGTCAGCATACGCGTCCACCTGCTCTTTTGCTTTCCACTATCATGGTTCGTGTTTCTTCGCTAAATAATCCAGCCGCAAGCCTCTGAAACCTCCCCAGCTCCTCCGAGTCAGATCCAAGGACGGAAACTTTCGATTTGATCTGGCACCCACTGCCGATATTTCAGAGTTGCTCGCAAAGGTTCGTGCAGTACAAAGAGCCAATCGGAGACTGACCATCTAGATAGATCTTGGAAACAGCCCCAGACGCGGATCCTTCAAGCTTCACCATATCTAACCAGCCCCGAGGAAATGAAGCAAAATTTTCTAGTTTGAAAGGGCGATCCTTGCAGAGTTTGGGTCTCAAGTGTGTTTTTATCCTGTGGCCCAACCCAGGCGCGTCTGATAATTTCACAGTCATGCTGATCTGGTCTTTGTAACCTACCAATCAAAGGCGCCTTCCGCGTCGAGTTCTTCCGCTGAGCCCAGTGCCGCTCCCGCGCCCGAAACGACTCGCATATGGGAGACCGTAAAGGAAGATCCCGTCGATGTCTATTGGCGCTCCCATGACGGAAAAATTGCGCGTGGACGCGACGCCCGTTTCTGCACTCACGCCACAAACGGCATGTGCGATTATTGCATGCCGCTTGAACCCTACAATGCTCTTTACCACAAAGAACACGCGATTAAGCATCTATCCTATCACGCGTACTTGAAGCAAATCGCCCCGAAATCGTCGTCTTCTGCCACTTCCTCTCTTCCGCCACTCACTCCGCTTTCCTACAAAGTGAAAGTGCCGTGCCCGAGCGGCCACCCATCATGGCCCGCCGGTATCTGCACGTCTTGTCAACCCTCTGCTATCACCTTGCAGTCCCAGCCTTTTCGAATGGTCGACCATCTCGAGATTGCTTCGACTGACGTCATTGACCGGTTTCTGCACGCCTGGCGTTCCACGGGGTTCCAACGTTTTGGCTGGCTAGTTGGGCGGTATGAACCATACGACGAGGTCCCGATGGGTGTCAAAGCTGTGGTCGAAGCTATATACGAACCGCCACAAGAGGGCGAACTCGACGGCCTTACCCTTGGATTACCCTGGGAGGAGGAGCCACGTATTAGAGAATTGTGCGCCTCGGCATCTACTCCGTTGACCATCGTGGGCTATATCTTCACCGATCTGACCCCCACGACCGAAGATCGAACGAAGAATGTGTACAAACGACACCCTGGTTCATTTTACATGTCGTCATTGGAGGCCATCTTTGCTGCTACCATGCAGAAATCGAACCCAACGCCGTCACGGTCTTCGCCAACGGGCCAATTTGCTTCGAGACTGGTCACTGCTATTCTAACTGCCACGGAAGATGGGCAGGTGGATATCGCGGCGTACCAAGTTTCCGAACAGGCCTGTGCCATGGTTGAATCCGACATGATAGAAGCGAGTGTTGATCCCGGAATTGTTCGCGTAAAGGAGGAAGATCGGACGCAAGGCTCGGCGAGATATGTGCCTGACGTTTTCTTTTCTTTCAAGAACGAGTATGGGCTCGAGGTAAAGAAGAGCGCCAAGCCTGCCTTCCCCGTTGAATATTTGATGGTTAACGTCAGTCAGGATTCCCGCCTGGCGAGCTAGAAACTGATCCTCACTGTAGGTAACCCACGGCTTCCCACAAAACCCCTCGCCTGTCTTCCAATCTTCGAGGTTTGCGATCGAAAATCGACCTGGATTGGAAGACCAACGGGTGGAAAACGTGATTAGCACCCTCGCCAGTCTCGATGCGCCGAATATCGTCAATAGCCGGAGTGCCAAACCTGGGGAGGCCCACAAACGGAGAGCGCTTGCCACATGGCTCAGCGACTGGCATCTCGTTACTTTCCTGGACACAACGCAACTATTCTCTCCCGTATGTGGTGACTGGGCTCGGTTTGTAGAGATAATTGACCTTTATTCCAGGAGGATGTGAAATTGCTGATACGTATCGTGACGTCCCCTACGCTATTGGAGGATCTCAGCCAACTGGATCCGTTGCTGGCAACTGAAGGGTGGAACACGCTGATGACATTTACACGCGAGAGTGGATGTACGTCTTCCGCCCTGCATTGCCTTTTATTTTTCGTCTAATGCGCACCAGCGAGTCAATCAGTATCCTCCTCACACGAAGACATTCCGCAGGAAGTTTTCGACCAAATCGCAGCCGAGGAAGCTGCGGCGCGCGGGAGCGGAGGCGGCGGAGGATCTAGCACTGGAATTAGAATATGTCCTCATTGCACGTTCGAGAATGCGCATGGCGGCAGCGACTGCGAGGTTTGCGGCTTACCGCTGTAGCTTGTGTAGCCAATGAAGATCGATCGTCTCCCATATCAGTAGCTCATGTACAAGTACAAAGAATACAGTAGACTTGACCACGATTAAGACGTGTATAAGAGTTGTATCTATTGTTCTGCTGCAATCTACTGTCCAAATATCCACCAGGTTGCAAACGCTACTCCGAAGAGCACACCGAGTGCACGGGCGACAATGACCACGACGAGAGCCTTGCGAATTGCGGCATAAAAGGTGCTGAGCGCAGAGCCTGACCAGTTTATTCTGATCAATGGTGAGTATACGTGACTAGTGGAGGCAAAAGAACTAACCTCCGGTCATTTGTGCCTCCGCCCCTCACACTCGCCTCCCATCCACGTACAACCTCTCGATAACGCCTACCAAACACCCTGAAAGTAGAGTGAGTTGCAATTCGTCCCGCAGATTCCAAAACCTACCAAATCCAAAAGTTGACGTCCGGGTAGGAGAATCTCGGGAACACACTGGCCAAACTGGGTGCGACGACATCCATGCGCATGCCCTCTGCGCCACTTTGATACGGGAGTTGCATCATAGGAGAAAGCGGTGACGATGATCCAGAGCTGGCTTTGTGGGCCTCGGAGTGATCGCGCGGCGAGGACGGGGCAGGGAGGACCATGTACGACATGAGGTCGAGTGTCATACCCAGCGAGAGACCCCAGAGCTTCAGTTTCTGGGGCCGCGAAAGGAAACCCTTTTCGAGGATATCGTGATTTGGTTTACTATCTGGAGCTGCCGACGGGAGAGCCGACGGCTGCACGATGATGGCGGGAAATTCCATGCTACCGACGAGTACCTGGACGAGGAGGCGCAGCGCCGTTGAATGCTTCGGAGCGAGGCGGGAGGCAGCGTCGACAGTGACAGTGGACCATCTGGGAGGCGCGTGGGCCGAGACGAGGGATGCGAGGGGCGTCCAGTGTAAAATGGTTGTGGAACTTGGGTCAGGGGGTGGCGGATCGATACTCAGCTGGAGGAATACCACTGGGGATAGGATGCAAAGCAGCCTCTTTCCGAGTGAGGTCGTTATTTCCCGGTCGTCCAGTTGACCAACACAGGTATAATCCCGCTCGGCGAGGTCGATGCCTATTTCCTCCCACGTCTGCCGCATGGCTTGCATGTGGTGTCGTAAGAAAAAAATGGTTGGGGAGCTAGTAGCAGTGCGACATACCAGTATAAAGGGCGCCCTCGTCATCAGCTTCAGTCCTACCACCAGGGAAAGCGACATGGGCTTCATTTGTGTTACGAACTCTACTCATGGCCGAATCTTCTGGGGCGGGAGTTTCCCTCTGCAAGAAGAGGATCTCTGGGCGTGCACCAGGGTCATTGACCCAGTCTAGCTCGAAGAATTCGGAGAGTGTGACAGGGTTTGCAGGCGGTGGGGGCAGAACTGCGCCTGGAGAAGGAACGACTCGAATAATAAGCGCGACAGCAGCTCTGCGTGGTTCTGGAAGCGTGTTTTAGATACTAGTGCGAAAGTCTAAAACAGGTAACGAACGAGTTGGAGGAGAGGCAATTATGCGAGGCGGGGTCGTGCGTATTCTGTGAAGGGCTCTAGAGAGCAAAGGTACGATGGAAATAGGTTTCTCTGATAGCAAGTCAGCAAGTGCAACGCGTTCAGGCGATAACATACCAGCCATAGTGGACTGGGGTCGAATGGTCCAGACTTGAGAAGTCGACGAGTTAGCAAGCGGCAGGTTGTCCCCAAAAGATTTGTTCGACTTCCGCTTTTGGCTGCTGCACCGCCACCGATGAGCGATGTCGACGCCGAACAGCAAACATGATACGAAGCCGCTGTTTTTATTCATGCCTGAGCCTGTCACACGATGTAATCAACGATGGCCCTCTGCAGGTAGTGCTTTAACTGGCCGACCTTAGCAGACAATAATATAAACTAGACAGGTCCAAGACAGGTCTTCCCCAAATTTGCAACAAAAAAAAAGGGAAATAAAAGGTCGTGCCCGGGTTCGAACCGGGGTTACCAGAACGATCACGCCGTTGTACAGGAGTGGCATTTCATCAAAATCTGGAGTGATGGACCGCTACACTACACGACCCGCAACAGTCTCTCTCTCAAAATGTGGCTACGAATTCTCACACTTAGACAAACGAGAAATCAAAGGCCACAAGAATTAGTTCATTTCGGACGGAACATCACAAATGTAAAGGGAATCTCGTTCTATAATCGAATAAGCATGCGAAGAGGGAATGAGATGGCGGAACACAACCTGCAAGGTTGAAGCGACTATTTGATTCTAAAGCATTTCTATCATCAAATAAGCATATGGAGAGGGAATGAGATGGCGGAGCACACCTTCTATAGCAGTTCTATCATCATGCGGAGAGGGAACGAGATGGCGGAGCGCGCCTTCGATTATGTTGCTTCTAAGCAGTTCTATCATCGAATAAGTATGCGGAGAGGAAATGAAAGCGCGGAACACACCTTTGTTCAAGTCTTTATTCTGCACTTGAATGAGCGATAAGAAGAATACAAGATGGAGACGGCGGCATACCTCCCTGGTCCATTACCAACAACTGGGGGTTGTCCAGCCAAGCGTCCCAGGTGATTGTGGGGCCAAAACGCCGTCCAACGGTAGAGTTTGGAAGGCGTTCGCGAAATTGCTTTGCCCGACACTTGGAATTCTGACGGAGTCCAGTGAAGTGGAGTCGGAGAGCCTCGACGTCGCCGAACCTCGCATCGCAACCGCAGCACACGAAATTCTGATGAGAGTGTGAGGAGGTTACAGCCGGAGGGAGGAATCCACATACCGCATCTGCAGGTGGATGTTGCGCTGGCACCGTCTTGGGTTTTTTCGTCCGGGGTCCGGTTGAAGAGCCTTCTTCTCGGTCCTGCAGAGGAGTGAGATGCGCGTCACCGGGAGACGAGACCGTACCTCGTTATCGGAGCCCTGAGAACGCGGTCAGCGGGCGAGAAAGAGCTTGTATTCAACCAGCTCACCTCGGATGGCCCCCGCTTTGAGGACCCTTCCCCTTTGTCCGCTGCCGCCGCCGCATCTTGCTAAAAGATTGTTGGAGATGAAAGCATGAGTTGCAAGAGGGAAGCCAACCTCAATGATCCACGAGGAGATCAGCAACTTGGGACCCCACTTGCGCCCCGGCCCCGGTATCCTTATGGAAAATTCCGTTGGGTTGCATGCAGGGTCGTCCTTGTGGGTGCGGATATCGACGAACTGTCTGCGACACGTGTGGCAAAAGTGGGTCGCATTCTTCGCACGGCCGCCGCCCGCCTTCGGGGCGTCCTAATAGGGACGCGAGTCAGAGGACACGTTGAGGAGAGAAGGTGGGGGACTCACTTCCAACGGCCAGCTCCGCCTCAGGCCGTCTCGCCTGTTGTCGACGTACTCCTCGTAGGCATTCTTGGCCCGACACCTCTCCGACGACGTTATGTGTTTACCGACGTCAAGGTAGCGGGCTTTACAACCGTGGCAATACCCCACTACGGCCACCGCCGCCTGAGCCTTGCGCGCCTTCTTGATGTTCGCCTGGAGAATTTGGCGCTCGGTCTGCTTGCCCTTGGTGACGGCGACCGACTTGACTGGTGCCGGGTCGACGTCCATTTCGTCGTCATCGTTGTGCAGATGAGCCAAGTCGACGGTGGGTAGAGGAGCAGCGGTGACGAGGACTGGAAGGCGAAGACGGCGAACGGTGGTATGGTTTGTCGCACCACACAAGGGTAAACGGTGGAACGCGACGATGTGCGTCATCAGGTCAAATCGGGAGAACTTGTGGGTTCCGCAGTGAGGAACCGGGCACAGGTTCTCGTCATTATCCTCGATGAGCCCGTCGTGGAGCTGCAGGTGTTTTTGGAAGGTCCACGGCGTCAGAAATCTAATCAACGTTTAGTGGCTGCAACGCGAACGATGGTCAAGAAACTTACTGCTCCATCCTCTGCGTTATATGGAGAAAATCATTGAAGACACACCAGGGGCACTGCATGGGGATGCTCGCGACGCCGCGAGCCGAGAGGCCGTGAAATTCTGGGTGTGCACCGGCAAAGCCCGTACCGGGCTTGAAGTCGACGCAATTGTCGATCGCCGCAGTAAACTCGACGCCGATGGGAGTTAGGTCAACCTCGCCATCGACCCGGGTCGCGAATTTCTCATATAGCTCGTAGAAATGGTCCCAGCAGTGGCCCTCCCAGTGAAGCCCGTCGCCGAGTTCGTCGATATGCCTAACAAACATGAGTGTCGGCCGGAAAAAAATGAAGGAAACCACGTACCATTCTGGGCAGGTGACGCAGTAATGAACTTCGACCTTCTCGCGGATGTTGATGCCGTGCACTTGGCCGAAATGCTGGTAGTGGTCAGCCTCGACATCGCCACACATTTCCCCGTTGTCCAGTAGGTACCGACAGACGCGCTCGGGATACTTGGCGGTCGGCGGTCGAGAGAAGGAAACGATGTGGGTGCGGAAGTGCTTGACGAAATCGGTGCGTGTCTCAAACATCTTGTCCTTGTGCTTGCATCCTTCCCACTGACAATGTTGAGGCTTAAAACTCGCCTCGACGTATGCCTGAGCGCTCTCTTGTTGAGCTTGGACAAGACAAGTGTGGATGTGGGACCCCACTGTCACTGTGCCGGAAAACGACTTTGGGCTGAAGAGTGTTTTGTCAGAGCAGAGATGAAATGTCAAATGAGCGACGTACTCGCAGTCGTGACCACACACTGGACACTTGTTTTTGGCAGTAGGCGACTCGCCCGGGTAACACGGGGCAAAAGGTCGTTCCGGAAGTCCCAGGTATGCAGTGACCGCCGCAACCGTCTCGAGGCCGATGTCCGGTTCGGCAGAGTGGTAAAGAACATCGCAGAGTTGGGCGATCGGGTCCACCTGCTCGATCTGCTTGAGGAAGTTTGTTGCCCCGGGGGTAGACTTGCCGGTTGAAGTGACAAATCTGTGTTCGAATGGGACGTGCGGCGTGAGCGTCTTGTCAGCAAGGGGGACGCGCGCATGAACCATGGCCGGGGCAGATGGAGCAGGCTGCGTGATTTAGAAAAGGGGAAAAAAAAAGGAAGCAAGCAGCCACGCACCTTTCCCTCCAGCTGCTGGCGGGACACGGTCTTGTAAAAATCCCTGCGCTCAATCTTGAACCGGATGTTTTCTTCACGGGCCACGATAGCGTGGTACTTTGCTTGAAGTCGCCAACGCGCTCTCCGCTTTTCCCACGTCTCTCCGACCAGGCTAGCGCGTTCTTCGAGCATGTCGGGATCCTCCGAGTCGAGGTCGAGACTGGCAAGTTTCGTGACCAGCGTCGAGACATCGTCCTTGATCTGCAAACGATAAGAGGTGGAGATCGAGAGGATGCCGAACGTTACCTGGGCGATGTTCTCACGCATTGCAACAAGCTCCGGCTCACGCAACATTGCGGCGCGACCCTCGAAGGACAGCGTGGTAGGTGCATCCGCATCCCGCCCGGCTGAAGCCCCCGAGACCGCCTGTGCACGAATGAGAGAACGGAGGAGCAGGCAAAAGTGCCACTTGCCTTGATGACGGCGATATTTTCTTGATTCGGCTCCCGTTCGTTCAAGATTGCTCCGAGGTCATGTTCGTGTTGGCGGGACTGGTACGAATCCTGGAAAGATCGTTAAACGAGGCGGAGAAGGAAAAAAAGCCGAAGCTCGCACCCGAAACATGTCCGAATCTGGACCGTGAGTCATCATCGCCCGTCTTTCCTCGGCGCCGAGTTCGCGGTTGAAGTTGCCGGCGGCGCCTCGACGCCAGCAGTACAGGGTCAGGGCAACTAGACAGAGTCAGAGTGGAACAAGAAAAAAATGGAGGAGAAAGGCGCACTGATGTAACCCATTGCCAGAGTGATTTTTTTAAGAAAATCGTGCACGACGGAAGCTTTGAGAGCCTTGGTCTCCGAGGTAACGTACACTCCGTCCTCGTTTAGTTCCTCGGCCAAGAAGACTGGGCAAGACTTGAACTCGTCTTTGATCGTGAGGATGTGGGCCTTGGTCGGGGGGATGTCGGGACGAACGATTTGTTCGACATCGGTGATGCTGTCTCCCAAGACTTGCCCATGGAGCGCGAGGTACAAGAAGAGGGTGACGGGACACTGGGCGCGGAGTCCAAGAGGTTCCCGGAGGAGGATGAAGGACTTGTAATACTGCTGCTCATCGCGGTGACCTTTGGGCAGGCGGAACAGGGGGATGATCGCGATGTGGGGATTGCGCGGCTCGATAGGATTAGGAACGACCCAAATCGAAACGTCGCCCCAGAGCAGTGCCTCGTTCGTGTCTTCATAACAATGACTCTCCACAATCGCACCAGGCCGTTCCCCAGTTTGGGCCGAGAGCACGTTAACGAGGGTGAATTGCGCCCTGGCGCGGTTTGTGCGAAAGAGAGCGCGGTCATTGAGAGCGTAGCGTGTGATGTGGTCGAGGTCGAGGGCTTTGCCGATGGGTTTGGCCCGTATGTCTCTCGTGAGGGGAGCGACTTGCTTGAGGTCCATCGAGTCGAGATACGCCCACAGTTGATTACGGAGGGGGACGGGGATGACGGCGTTGGCCCTGCGGCGCCATACAGCAAACCACGTAGACATGTACTGTTTGACGCTACGGCGAGTGGCGTTCTGTGAGCTGGAGACGGTGCCTTTGACGCCAGCGGCCAAGAAGGTTATGAACTCCTTGCAGATGCCTTGCAAGAGTTGGAGAAGAAAGAGAGAGAGAGAAAAGCGGAGACGTACCCTCGGACGGAAACTCGGCGCCAAGTTCAATCTCTTCCGGGAGGTCGTCGTGGATTGAAAACTCGGTGTAGGTGCGCCACTTTACGATTACGCTGTCGTGAAGGTCGAGTGTAGGCTGCTTCAGTAACTTGTAATGATACACGCCTTCAAGGCCTTCTTCAAAGACGCGTGCGAGTTCTGGATTGGCCGCAGCTTTTTGAGCGACTCGTTCGGTCATGGTGGGCAGCGGGTCGGTCGACGTATGGAGAGGCATGTCGGGCGAGGACGGCGGGCGAGGACAGCGTGCGGGCGAGGGTGCGGGCGAGGCGAGGAGGCGGACGAGGCGAGACGACTTGACCAGCAAATAATTTA